ATGCCACTTCAACCCGCGTTGATAGCACGCCGCGCACGAACGGACTCACGCATGTATATATGCACCAAACAAGAAAGTTGCACAAGATCCTGCTCCTTGTGACTGACAAGGCACCCGACTCGGCCTGACTCCAAAGTATTCGCCAACGCAATCGCCGTCTTTCCCGCTTCCCCAGCTTCGCTCTTCGTCGCTTCTCGCCCGCGGGATCGCTCGCTCGCTCGTTGCGCCTGGTTGGTTTTTCTTTTTTCTTGTTGACTCCTTTTTTCCCCCTTTTTTTAATATCAAAGAGAACATGGCAGTGTTAGGGAACGTGCTTTCACGAAAGAAACGTTCGCGCTGTATGCCGATCGGCGGTCTCCATATCGCGCATATGCAAGCAACGGACTTTGCTATTGTAAAACATGCTTTCATGAGCATTTGTTGCATAAAACAATGAAACAATTCGAGTTTGTGTTTAATTTATCTCTTGTGCAGCCGCGCTAGATATATGTACAAAAAAAAAAAAAAGAAGACATGGCACACCCCACTTTTTTTATGAATTTCAGGCAGCAGGGGGGTGGGCGATGACTCGGGATATTACGCTAGTCTGCATGCCTCACGTTTCTTAAGCCCCCCCCCCCCCTTTTTTTTGTCGTACCAAAACACGATATATTTGCGCTGTCAATAATTCAGTAGAAAGAGGGTTATGTCATTAACCACGCGACCCATAAGAACTCGTTGTACTTGCTTAAAAAAACGAACAGCGGGCTGGTAACTATCACACATAAAAATATGCCGTATCTTCTATTTAATTGCAGTAAATACCTTGGCTTCTCGAAAATAGCGGGAAACAATATTCGCGTTTTCCAGTTGATTATTCGATACCATTAAAAAAAAATTGCTTTTCATTCTGGCAAACTTCCTTTTGAAGCTGTACTGTTGCTATTTCAAAACTTTATGAAATAAAACAATATTTTATTAGTTACAGTATGATCATAGATGTATATATTAGCTCTTCTCTTCTTGGGTGTTGCTCCTCTCATATCATGACATTAGGCAGTTTTAGCAGATCGTTTCGCGAACTCTGAGAACGATACCACAACACGATGCATGCACGAAGGCGGAGAGTATTGGGTACTGTTATCGGAACGATGGAGTAAAACTCGGGGAGTTCTACTAAAGCTCCCCAATGGGGAGTGTTACTAAATATCTCCAAAGAGAGCTTTAGTAGATTCTTCCGATAACGATATCCGATAACGATACGATGCATGGGCAAAGACATCGCGGCGGAGAATCGGGTATAGTTATCGGAAATATTTACTAAAGCTCACTATTATAGTGACTGTATTGTTGGTAGCCTAAAGCTGTGCTCAAGATGCTCGCGAAACCTGTTGGGTCCGGTGGAAAATGATCGTCAGCGTATTCTTATTATTATTATCTCACAGCACTGTACTTCAGTCGTATTCGTCCACCCATTCATGGTTGCTCTGATACAATTGTTTCAAATTAATCTAACTTCTGTCTGCAAGTCTTTTTTTTTTTTTTCAAGTTATGTTGAAACCTATGCTGTCTTGAAAAAACTGCTCAATAAATTTCTTCCTGAAGTTTTTTTTTTTTTTTTGTAATTGATTACGTGGGTTTGTACGTAAAACAAATCCCCTTGTATATCGAATCCGACAAAATACCTACACCTGACTTCGGCCATATGAAGAAACAAATCCGTCGGTAGCTATCGTCGCACACACCTAATCTGCACCATTATGAGCGTTTCGTCGGAGCGCGAGACAGGTCAAGGCTTATAGATTGTTCGGTGTAATTAACTGATTATGGTAAGCAGCAATCACTTGGGTATAGGAGATGGGGGCTGCTGCAACGTTTCAGTGATGTGAAATGTGCAGATAACCTCCAGAACACACACCCTCTAGGGTGTGTATTCTGGACTCGTAGGTACTCGTAGGTACTCGTAGGTACTCGTAGGTACTGGAACAAATTCACATCCACATATACAAGTTTTTTTTTTTTGTTTTCTTTCTTGGCTCAGGTGACGAACGCGTTGGTCATCCGCGAGGGTCTCCGCCTTTCCGCCTGCTTACTTCCTAGCCACGCGATGACGCAGCGCAAGCGCACTGGCGACCAATCTCCGAGGGAGGCGTCCGCCATTAAATTGTAAACGATCTCGATCAATCCAACAATCTACGCTCTCTACGAACAAGAGGCGACAGAGGCGCCGCCGCCGTCGTGCTCCTTTTCCATTGCCATATTTGAGGGCGATGTTTAGTGCGCATGCTCAGAACGAGCATAGGCTGCTAAGACCGGTCACCTCGATGGCGCGGAATGCACGTTGCAAAATAACCGTGGAAGCTAACCGTCAGCACGCGCTCAGCAGTGGCGCCCACAGATCTGACCGCGAGTGAATACTTCATGACGAGAAAGTCGCGAGGGGAGCTGCTGTTTTCCTTACTGTGGGTAAGGAAAAGCACGTGCTACCCACGCGGTTATGTTTTGATTTTCATAGTGAATAGAAGCTTACCATTGCACGTGCTTGCACCTGCAGCACCCTGAATTGTAAAAAAAAAAGAAAGATTTACTAAGCGGCGGTACCCAAACTTCTCGTTACGAATAGTGTGATAACTGAGGTGAAGTGTAACTGCAGTTAAAGGGGGACTTAACTGCGGCTAAGGCTGCCCGTGTAACACGGATTGCTGTACCCTCTGAAGCTGCGAAAGAAGGAGCAAGAAATTATAAATTATATTTCCTGTGAAGAAGGTCATATGAGCTTACAATTGAGCTTTGAAAAAAAAAAAAAAAAAAACGATTCTGGGAAGAAATGTATTAATCGTGGCGGTTAGCGTTTTTTTTTTTTTTTTTCTTCTGCACACTTAGGGGATGTGCAATTGCTTCGATCCCGGGTTTATCATATCACAGGTCCAAGGTATAAATAGAGACGGGGAATGGGGGAGGGGGGAGTGGGGGTCCATGATACAGTCGGTCTTGGAAGGTTACAATAACGCAGATAGCGCGCGGCTGCGATCTAGTCAATGGATGACCTTCAATACACAAGAATAGTCGCCACATATCTTTTTTTTCTTTTTTCTCGCTCGTATACTGTTGCGCTATTAGCACTCGACGCGGCTCGCGACCGCGGAAACAGCGACGAGTGGACCAGTTTGCGCTGGTGAGAGAACCCGGGACTGGGGAAATGATACTCGGCATTTTACACCATGTATAACGTACGCAGTGCCTCCCCTTCTCCCACACCGTCGCTTCGCTAGCGACTTTAATACCCTAAATCTGAAAAAAAAAAGACAGTATCCATTTGAAATAAAATCATAAAATCTAAGGGTTCGCCTTACGTTTCTTAATTGTAACAGCCATTTTCTCGCGAACGGGTTAGATCTGTCGGTCAAAGTACCCGGTGAGTGTATAAACTATAGCTATTCAGGTCGCACGTGAACTAATGGTGTCCAAGACAGGCGGTGACAAGTTGCGCTGATGTAGAAGGCACAAAACAAAAAACTCGGACATTGGACTGCATCTTTATGTGGCCTAATTTTGGTACAGGTCTTCTATTTCTCGTGACCAGTCAAAGTTCAATAAAACGTGATATAAATTAAATCAAACTCCATATCATTAGACCGAACATTAATTACGCTCTTACTCGCAGAACCACCGAGAAAGCAACCGTGTGGATCGGGCGTCTCATTCGGGACATTTTTATGCAAGACCGTTCATATCACATCTATTGTTGATTACGTCTGCTCTACGGACTAGCTTGGTAGATCAGCACCGAATAGCAATCGAGTGTCGGGCCATGTTTTCACGCTACCCCCGCCAGCGTATTTCTCCTCATATTAAAAATAGCGCAAAAGAGACGGTACAAAAAGACGAAGAAGCACACAGGACAAACGCAAACCAACTTGGCCAGCAGACCAAGCTTTTACAATATATTTCTCCTCCACAAGCCGAAAAACAAAATTGGGTTCTGTGTATGTTTATACAGACTAGAACTTGGCCCGCCTCAACGGGCGACGAGTCTCCCAGCTGTAGATGAGAATTTAGCCAGTGCAATAAAACCGCTAGCCTGGGCTCTTTAACGTGCACCACGCAGTAGTGATACACGACCGCACGCCGGTACGATGCTCATCAAGATCGAAACGGGCAGGGGTGGGGATTGAATCCAGCATCCTGGGTTCTGCAGCGTGAGCTCCACAAGCCGACTTGTCACAGAACTCGTCAGGGGCACTGCCTTATTTCTTGATTGGTCCGTGTCCGCGTAGTGATTCGATGCCGTAGATATGGTACATGGTGGTCTTTATTTGGCGTATTTTTATCTGTATCTGACTATAGTCCAATAGTGACAAATGAGGCATGAAGCGTATAGGTCTTGTTCTCGTCCGCTGCTAGGAGAAGCGAGAAATCGTCACATGGCTCCTCAGTCGGTTAACCTCTTCGTCTTTCCAATAAAGTGTCTTTATTCTGGTACACTTAGAGAGCGCCGCCAAAATCTCCGAGATATCAATTTTTGGAACTGCGGTTTGTCTTGTTAATTTTCCCGGTTTGCGAGTTCCCTCAGAGCAGAAGACGTACAGAAGATTCTAGTGTTCATCGCCTCGTCATTTGACGCGGCGCGCGCCAGATGCCTTCATGACCTTTCATGGTGGGCTACTTGTCTTTCAGCAGCGGCACGACTTTCTTGAGCGAAAATGTATAATCTAACACTCATAATACTTGTACCTCTGTCGCTCCGCCGCGGGTTGGCCCAAGCTTAGAATCGCTGGCTCGAAGACGATTACATGAGCCCGTTGTGCCGATGAACGCAGTGGAAGAACGCTTCAAGCCGCACGAGACACTCTCAATGAATTCCCCAATTTCGTCCGCAAATCTCGGAACCGCGATTTATGAAGATATATTTTCTAACTGACCCTCGGGCTGAAGTATGGCTTGGGTATAATCCATGAATATATTAACTATAACAGCAAGGGTGGTGGATTCGCTTTTTATATCTTGACCTGCACCATTCCCCATTAACCATCCGTTCTGTCAAAGAGGAGGAAACGAAGGGATGCCCAGCCCGGTCCCCGACCACCCGTTCGGGGTCGTCCTCAAGGTGATATCCCTCTTCCTCATCGTCATCACCCTGCCCTTCTCCCTCCTGCTCTGCCTGGTCGTCGTGCAAGAATTCGAGCGAGCCGTCATCTTCAGACTGGGCCGTCTGCAGCCAGGAGGAGCCGCCGGTCCGGGTCTATTCTTCATCATCCCGTGCATCGACGAGTACCGCGTGGTAGACCTGCGGACCGTGGTCTTCAACGTGTGTCCACAAGAGATCCTCTCCAAGGACTCGGTGACGGTAGCCGTAGACGCCGTTGTCTACTACCGCGTCTTCAACCCGGTCGCTGCCACCGTCAACATCAAGGACCACGCCCGGTCCACCATTCTTCTGGCCGCCACCATCCTGAGGAACGTGCTGGGGACCAAGATGCTGTCCGACGTCTTGTCGCAGAGGGAATCCATCTCGCGTACGATGCAGACGCTTCTGGACGTGGCCACAGATCCGTGGGGGGTGAAGGTCGAGAGGGTGGAGTTGACGGACGTCCAACTGCCCGCTCAGATGCAGAGGGCCATGGCCGCGGAAGCGGAGGCCGTGCGAGAAGGGAGGGCGAAGGTTGTGGCGGCCGAAGGAGAACAGCGGGCAGCCGTGGCGCTCAGGAATGCCGCTAACGTGATAGCTCAGTCTCCAGCTGCGCTTCAGCTCAGGTACCTGCAGACGCTCGGGACCATCTCGGCGGAAAAGAACTCAACAATCGTGTTCCCGTTGCCTCTGGAGCTGTTGCAGACTCTGCTTTTCAGATAGATATAGGAGGCTATAACCACCGATTTAGTTTTTGGCTTCTTTTGTCGGAAGGAACCATTGGAGATACGACGTCGCATTTACGAAAGCAACGTCTGTAACCCTTTATTTAAAAAAAAAAAAAAAAGAGGTTGGGAAGCACATGAGATTTGCGTAAATATCTGCTTGTTTGACCTTTTCCGCTGCACGTCATGTTTCGCAATACAGTTACCTCTTTGTGATAATCCTTCACAAAGGCCGATTGTAGTCACTGCACCTCAGCACAGTCACATAAGTCACTCGCTTGCCACAAATGGAAATTATTTGAGAAATAAGCACGGCGTAAAGAACTCGCAGCTTTGAACGATAGTGGTATACCGCGGTATAATAATCGCATTCCGTTTTAGAACGACTTGAAGCTCTTGGGAATCTCGGGGGCGCACCAAAGTTACTACTCGTGAAGCATGCAGGCACAAAGCTAGCAGTGGCGGAACGCGGATGATTAGATCATTATCGCGTTCCGCCACTGCTAGCTTGGCGCCTGCTTCGCGAGTGGTAACCTTGGCTCGCCCCCGAGTTTCCTACGAGCTTCAAGTCGTTCTAAATAGAGTTGATTTAGTGGTTTTCGATGACGCTCAGTAAATTTCTAACTGGAACCATATGTATACTTTCACACAATTAAAAGGTTAATTTACGAATTTGAATTAATGAGCCGACTTATCGCAAATATTAGCCACCTACATAATGTCCCCCTGGCCATGTAACAGACCTGCATAAACCACATAAGTGTGACTTTCACGCCTTTTTTTTAAACAAATCTATAAAGCTTAAAAAAAAAAAAACCCGTGTATAATGTTTCTGTTTGATTGTATTGTATGTTTGTGTTTGATTGTGTATAATGTTTGTGTTTATTTTTTGTCTGTGTTGTGACGCACCGCCGATGTTGCTGTTTGTGAGATTCAACAAATAAACATAAAGCGCATTAGCGTGACGTCAACGAGTTTGGATCAAAATACGAGGGAGGGCAACTGACGCTTGGACGTCGGCCGGATGAGAGGATCGAGGTGGTTGCGAACTTGATATCTTTGGATGTCCGGTGTGTCAGAACAACACCACCTAGATAAGCAGAATGTCTCCGCACCGTCATCACAGTCGGGTCGATCGAGGCCTGAGATTGGGCACGAGTGCTGCGTCAGTGTTCGGCCGGGGCTTGTGTCCAATCAGCGCGTCGAAGGCCGGACTCGGGACGAATAGCCGAGTTAGCGCGATACGACCGTGATGATGTTTCATGAAGGGAGAGGAGGCGGTGCGGAGGCTTTGATAATTCCAGGTGGTGTTGGTCAGAACCGGCCAGAACCAGTCATATCCGGGGCCAGCAGTTATCGCGGTTGCCCCGACGGCGATATTGAAAGGAGCGCGCTGTGCGCCGGATTAATTTATTTATCTGGTTTATTGCTTTCTGTTGTTATTGTCGCTACCCGCGGATACATGGATGCAACCGTGACGCATCGGATAGAGATATGATAATTATGATTGGGTCGAAGAAGAAGAAGCAGGGGGATTGGCTGCAGTGGTGCCGAAACGGGGGGGGGGGGGGGGGGGGGGGGGGGTGAAATGTAAACATTACGGGGAAGTCTGTGACTATGCTGAAAGGTTTGTTTGGGCTAGTTGTTTATTTGACATCTTGAGGTAAAAACAGCGCCACTGGACAAGCACGAAGAACAAAAACAGGAGATCAGCACACGAATCATGGTGAGGCAAGTGTCAAGTCAAGCCACGGATACGGGATCCAGCCGTTGCATTTCAGAGCGTGTCGACGTGCTAGTCCAATCAAAACCTGTCAATAATCTTTCCCAAAAAACGCACAGCGGAATATTTGAGAGACAATTCACTGGCACTGTTGCCGGCAGGTAAGGAAGCCGGATCTGTAGTGGTGCAGAGAGAAGAGATTCAGAAGCCGTCCAGTCTGTTTATAAATATAAAATGTAAAAAAGTGACATTAGTCAGAGTAAAACATTAGGCTACGGGCATATGCAAAAGCTCGAATGAAAAATAAAATTGCCAAAAGCGATTGAAAAAAAAAACAACAACTTGTGTCTAGATTTCTTTTTTCTGGAAAAGCGTTTAAGGTCGATTGTCCCTTAGTTTCAGAAAAAGAAGCGTGGCAAAAATCTTTCGCCCTATTTTTAGCAGTTATAACAATATATTCAGAATTAGAAAAACTGACCAAGTCATATAACTTTTAAGCGAAAATAAAATAAGCCTTTCAGCATTTTTTGTCGATGTCAAAGACTCATATTACCCAATTGCACATGAACTGATTCGCAATATTATACTCCATCTAACTAAAACCGTGCAGCACAGCCAAAGCTACAGCGGAGAGAGTGTATGCCAACCTGTCAAGAAGAGGGAAAGGAGGAATGTGAGAGAAGGGCTGGGATTCCCCTGTTTCTCCTTTCCCTCCTCTTGAACAGGTCGGGATACACTCTCTCTCCCGTAGCTCTGGCTGTACTGCACGGTTTTAGTGAGACAGGATATGGTGGGGGGGGGGGGGGGGGGGGGGGGGGACGGTGACGTTTCAAAACAAAAATATATATACACTAAGATTTTTTTTTTTTTTTACTTATTGCCTATTTTGGCTCGACTTGCACAAAATAGCGTAACGACATCTTTATTAAAAAAAACTGAGGATATGCATCCCCAGCATAGCTCCGATTTTGAGTGATATTTATATTGACAGGATCATTCCAGGTCGGCTGCGAGACACAGAAGCAGCCAATATTTTCATATTTGTCGATGATTTTCTTGTGCTTTTAGATTGTCAACATCAAAAAATTGATTCCCAGTTTTCTGAGACTGTGGCTGTTTTTAAAGATTGCCTCGCACCTTTGCGATTGACGTATGAGTTGCTCGTGAGCAATGCTTTCAAATTTTTATACTCGGACATGTATTCTTCAAGTGGACATATAGCAAGCCCATTCTGTCCTTTAGTTAGCACACTCGGGGATCGCGAAGAGAGGAATTGTTAACTCATATTTTATCTCCGCATTGTCGAAGTCCTGCAAGCATCGCTTTAAAAAAGTTTTTTCTTGTCTGTTTAATCAGATAGACAGATTTTTGAGTACCGGTTATCCTCAGAGCATTTTAACGTCGGTGACAGAAAGACTAATAAAGAAGTTAAAAAAAAAAAACGGTCAACTGCCGATGAACGCCCAAGGATTCGTAGTAAGAAAATATTTGTTGGCCCTTACCGGCACAGGGGTCCCACAATTTAAAGAAAATAGAAAAAATGGTAGACGTAGAAGTCGGTTTTTTCCGCGTCAGAAAGGCCGTCCGTTTTTATGTAAAGAAGTCAACGTAATCGAAGACGGAGGAACTAAAGGAAATTGCACGAGGAAGCACCGTCAGCCTTTTATCAAATGTCAGGAATGTGTTGTTTCCAATTCCCTTGTTATGTCGAATAAAAATAGCGCAAAAAAAGAGGACAATTCTCAAAGGAAGTAAACGGAAGAAGCGATGACTTACAACTGGGTTAACATGAAGAAAACATGAACCCGAGTAATCCTAAACATGCCACTATGCTAAGTCTGTATATAAGATATGCTCTCTTTAATATAACGCAATCGACGGTGCACTGACGCGCGTGTCTTCTTCATATTGCGCCATAAGGAATGCTTCCGTCATTTCACGAGTTTTTCTTTGGTTTGCAGTCGCGTCATAACCTCTATGTCAGCAATGTTTGGTGCACACGCACATTGGGAAGTGCACTTCCGGTATGTGCATTGAGATACGACTGGAAGTACACAGCACTACGCTTTTCTGCACCGGTGCTCGCGACTGCAGGTGCACCACACTTTCAAAGAAGCAGGATAATAAAAAAAAAAGAATAAAGAGTAGAGATGAGCTGACCAGGGAGAAATAATGGCAGCCTACGAGATAAACGAGTAAAAAGACAAATGTGTCAGCATGCCATCCGTCACCCCCTCAGATAAGGAGTTGCAGTATTTGGCGTAGGTTAAAATATGCAAGCTCTTGTAACGCACTAGCTTTATCTGGTTCCACAAATGCCAAAATTGCTCGCGAGTTGTTTTTTTTTTTTTTTTGTTCTTTTGCGTATTTAGTTTGTTTTTGCGTTGCTTAAAGGGACACTGAACCTAGGACTCTTTCATTTTATACTTCGATTAGGAAAGGCAAATCTCAATATAAACGTTCATAGAAAAAAAAATTGTTTGCCCAATATTTACGCTCAAATACGAATCTTTTGATTTGCGGGTGAAACCGAAATTGTACCCATGTGGGATGATAATGATGATAGCGTTTGTACTAAACTTAAGCGACTTAAGTGTGACGATCGCGCTTGCGAAAGTGATTAAATGATTTAGCATGGCGGAGCTGTGATGGGTTATAGCGGGGTGGAGAGCCATCGATAAGGCAGCGCCAGCTTGCACCGCAGGGGATAGAAGGTAAAAGAAGTACATCGAGGGGCTTCGCAATCCAACCATAGCTTCACTGCTGCCTGTCTTCAATGTTTCGAGCTCAACGTACCGTGACAAATTTCGTTGTGGCTAACAAGGAAATGTTCATTGTACGGCACTTCACGACTATGATCAACGGTGAAGACATTTTCTTTTTTAGTGTTCACAGCGCGGCGAAGTGCCGTTGTGGCGCTGCTGCGGGCTTATCGATTTTAACGCTGCGTGCTGAACATCCTTGCCGTTTTCTCCCGATGGACGAAGCGAGCGAATGTCACACCTCCCCTTATAGCCCACCTGTTATGCACTTACAATTAATTACGTTCAAGGCTATTTACATATTTATCACGTTAGTCGGGACAATCATTGTGGACCAGCAGATCGATCAGCGTCAGGGTCAAGCTGCACGAGCCATCTCGAACAGCAGGCGCTAAGCTAGCAGTGGCAAAACGCGGATTAGATTATCATCGCGTTCCGCCACTGCTAGCTTTGCGCCTGCTACACTAGTGGCAACTTTGGTGCGCCCGGAGCTTTCCACGAGCTTCAAATCGT